GTTTCATTGGGGCTGCGGTGCCTCAGGATGATGCTGTTTGGTTTCATCGGGGCTGCGGTGCCTCAGGATGATGCTGTTCACCTCTAGGTTCCTATCAGGGCCTTGTGCTTTTTTCAGCTGAAGTTGATGAGCTTGTGGTTATTTACTTTGTCTAAAGCCTCTACATTTCTACCCCCCCAGGTACTACAGCGCCACCATCCTGCAAATGTCAGGAGTGCGAGATGACAGGCTGGCCATCTGGCTGGCCGCGGTCACAGCCTTCACCAACTTCCTGTTCACGCTGCTGGGGGTGTGGCTGGTGGAGAGGGTGGGCCGCCGGCGGCTGACCCTGGGCAGCATCGTTGGTACAGATCCCGCTAAATTCGTCTTCACGTTTAAAGCAGTTAGGGTGATGCTGTTCTTGCCGCAGCTGTCATTCTCCTTCAGGAACCTGTCTGAGCCTGATCCTCCTGGCGGCCGGATTTCTCCTGTCTGCCCAGAACTCACCCCCCATCACCCTTCACCCCACTGACCCCTCCCTGCAAAACTCCACCTGCGCACAGTACGGGTGAGGCCTGTGCCGGACTGCCTCTGCAGGGGGCGCTCTCAGGACAGCATGGGGATGCATCAAGCACCCAACCACATACATACACACATACACAGGCACGCACACAGTGAAAGGATGCATGTATGATGATCAGATTCATCTTCAGCGAGCTTTGTTTTTATATACCACCTATCCATAAAGGCTTAACCCGGATTTAACAAGAAGAGCGAGTGTGTTACCAGCAAGTAGCAGAACTTAACTGAGTCAGGATGGACCTCGTCGGATTGAGTTGAGAACGCAACAGGTGTTCCCGGTGGGTGTAAATTATGAGTATGGGCACGGGAAATGAAGAGGATATACCAAATATTTGTGCCAGGGAGGAGGAAGATTCATTCAGTTTTTGGTCCCATTAAAGATGGCTGCTAAGCCCCTCCCACACCCTTACTTATGGGCATGTGGGTCGGATCAGATCCAGAATCAGATCATCAAGCAGAGCAGTTTGTGTTGCCTAAAGAACAGCAATGGATGGTGAGATTTTCACAGCGTTGCCATGGTGGGGTTTGGAATTGTTTCCATCTCCGTGATGTTATGAAATGATGAATGCAGTGCCCCCTTGTGGAAAAAATGGACATCACTGTAGGCTCACCTGAAGCTTATAGCATTAAGTGCGTTTGGAGAGTTTTTAGACAGCAGTATATAATGGCACAGAGGGGCCCAGGTTGTCCTGTGATCTGAGATCTAAACAGAAGGTGCCGGAATAGCAAGGCAGGCTGCTTGTTTACTGTGTTTTATCAGGAAAGGTTTAAGCCTCTCATAGGCACAGACACACACACACACACACACACACACAGGGCAGCTTGAACTCTTTTTTCACAATTGAAACTGCAAATACAACTCAGGGTGGGGGGGCTGTTACCCCTTCCACAGACTATAAAATTCATATCTTACCCCCCCCCCCCCCCCAGGCTGTGCGAGCCCTGCATGCTGGACCCACGCTGTGGCTTCTGTTACCAGGAGAACGGCACCACCGTCTCCACCACCTCCTGTGTGCCCGTCAGCGTGTCCTCCACTGAGGAAGCAGCGTGGGGCAGGTGAGGGGGAGGCAGCCTGGCTGGGTGGGGAGGTGTGGGATCTGCCGTACCTCCAAGTGCATTCCCTGGGATCTGGGCTTGGTGAACTTCTCCACACTCTGCAATTTTTAAACGTCTTTGTTCCTGCACTTGAGCTTCCTCCTGTCACGGAACACGTGTTGTGTGCTTCAGAAGGGAGCCAAACACACTTAAAAGGCACACAGACGCCACACAAGGCCGATTCTCACCAAGCATCTAATTCTGCTTCACGCCGCTCTCCTGAGCCGCCTTTACAGCAGAGAAACGGGCATATTGGTTTGCTGGACATCTGTTCTGTTCTGTTCTGACCACACACAGGTGTAGCAACATGACCCAGAAAGACAGCGTCTACTGGGCCTATAACTACTGTCCCACCGCCTACTCATGGATGGTCCTCCTAGGCCTCATCTCCTACCTGGCCTTCTTCGCCCCAGGTAAGAGGCTTTGGTTCTGTTCTGGGAAGGCCTGATTTCAGATCATTCTGGAATTTATTCCTTGTTATTCGACCCTCTGATAGGAATGGGTCCTATGCCTTGGACGGTGAACTCTGAGATCTATCCCCTGTGGGCCCGGAGTACCGGAAATGCCTGCTCTGCTGGTGTCAACTGGACCTTCAACGTCCTGGTTTCACTGACTTTCCTCCACGTTGCTCAGTACCTCACCTACTATGGTACCTGACCATGACTGGACTGATTCACATCTTGCATGAGTAGATTGAGCTAAATAATGGTATTTCCATCCACAATAATGTTGTGTTTTGCTGAGGATGCAGATATCCTCTTATAGGCACTTGCTGCTTCCATTTGTGGTGGATGTTGGTAACTTACTGAGGAACTCCTGTCCTGGTCCCCTGGTGACTCTGTCCTTCACCCTTCCCCCCCTCCCCCCCCCCCCCCACCTCACAGGTGCATTCTTCCTATATGCCGGCCTTAGTCTGCTGGGCTTCCTCTTCATCTATGGCTGTCTGCCCGAGACCAAGGGCCACCGGCTGGAGGAGATCGAGCTGCTGTTTGAGAATCGGCTGTGCACGTGCGGCGCATCTGATTCGGACGAGGGACGGCAGATCGAGTACATCAGGGTAAAAGGAAGCAACTACCACCTGTCAGATAACGACGCCTCTGACGTGGAGTAGTCCGGTCATCACCTTCACACTCTCCTTTCCAATCCGAGGCTTTCTTGGTACGACACATGATGGGTTTGGGGTCTAACTTAAGCCTGCTTCTAGTCTGCCTTACAGTCGGTGTCCCATGATTCATATTCCATAGGGCTGGCTGGGCTCCAGCATCTGCCAAAATGTGCTTATTGTCCAGTATAAATCAGTGGAGCGGCTCAGTTGGGATCGATGGCCAAACGGAACACGGCCTCTGACAGAGAAATTCAGGACCCAGACAAATATCAAAACACAGGGATTGAGGCCTTCCTGCCCAATGAAATGAAATCATTACCAATAGCAGCTCGTAACACAAAGTGTTTTGTGTTGATGTGTGTCTAGTGCTCCTCTGAAGCAGATCACTGGAGTATTTCTGTATTAACTCACTATACTGTATATTTATCAGTATTTTACATTGGCTCCTAAAGATGAGTTTGTGGACCACAGAACATGCCGTTGATTCCCGGGAGCCGCTCCTGCCAGTCAGACACCCTCATCCCTTGGGAACAGTGTGTGGTCTCATGGCTGATCTCTGGTTGGTGGTGCTATGGAGTAGTTTGCCATAGTTCGACTTGGTGGCTCTGGGTCTCCTGTTCATTGTATATCTCGGTAACTATGACCAAGCATAGACACACAGTGAGGAGGAGGAAACACTAGGGGGTCATGGATTTAAGGAGTGTTGAATTTTCTAGTCTCGCTTGGAGCTGGCCTACTTACACCACAGAGTCCTGGAGGCAGACAGTGGAATCGCATATATACACGTAAGTAAAGCGATGTGGCCGGCAGCACCTCCCCCTGAGGTAAAACTGCCGTTAAACGTGTCCGGCTGGAGAGTCCCTCTCATCAGCAGCTGTCCTTGTTTGTTTTGCAGCTGCAATAGTCGTTATGTGTTCCAGAGAGGATGCAGAAGATATTTTTGTATGCAGCACACAGAACACACTATACTCCTAATTCAATGTTTACAACTCGTCTATCAGTCGCTTCACGTGCATTCGTACACTCATACTGTTTTTGGCAGGAAGTACTTTGCCCGTTTTAATTTTCTGTCTTCCTCTGTGGCCGTGTGTACAAACCAAATCGTATATTTATTCTTTAAATGGCATAGTTTAATATTTGTGTGTTAAATGTTTAGAGTCCTGTAATGATACATTTAACATATATTACAGTTAGGAGATTCAGTCCTAGGTGGTGTTTACTGTCCCCCTTAAACTGTCAGGTATTCATGGTTCAGTGCCTATCTCACTATATTGTTGAGTTAGATTAAATGATGTGCTTTATCTGTGACTGGAGATTAGCTTTTGCCAAATAAATCGTGGAAAATGTATTCACCTGCTCAAGACAATGTGCTGTTTTTTGGCCTATAACATGTAGGCCTTGGGTTCTGGGGTCTTATACTCACTGTCACAGTAATTACTGCTAAAAGCAGGGAAATACAAGGCTTTTGGCAAAGTGAACTTAAACGTGATGTAAAAGCACAGAGCCAGTAACAGCAGGACAGACTGGTGGGGGTATTACAGTACTAGTGATACTGGTGATGAACTGCCACTTTCTCTTTTTCACTGGTATCGACTTAGTGTCCTGAACCTCCTTATGCAGACAGGGATCATCAGTCTTACTGAGGAAATGATGCCTTCAGGTTGCTTTTATTTCTGAATATTTAAGATCATTTTTAGAAATGTGGGACAGTGTTGTTGAAATGACATAGAACTATGTAATGAAGTATTTCCTATGTTTGTTCATGGTGGATAGTTGCACTTTTCATATATAAAACAAATGTCTGAATAATGTGTTTGTACAGTTTATGAATTAGAGGAAAAGAGATGACATATCAGTGCTGTAAATTGATTTGTTGCTGTATGTTTTATTAGATTTTAACTTTGTATACAATTGCATAAGTTCATGAAATGAGATCACTTGAAATTGTACATGAGAAAGTAAACATTAATTATTTCGCTGTATCTGTTCCTGCTTTAATAAAAAAGTGAACTTGCATCATGGCAGATCTCTCATTTGTCAGATGCACGCCTTCCTTCACCGCGACGTGTCATTCTGCTTCATCTTTACCAGTATATCCGCAATCTCGTGCAGCGTGGCAGTCTCTTCCGACTCCCAGAATGCTCTGCAGCCCTCACTGAGGTGTTTGCTCTCTGCTGTGCTGCTGCCTCCTGCTGGCTCCCAGGGCAGGTGGTGACTGATCCCAGCTGAGCTCTGCGAGATCCCTGCTCCCTCATGCTGTTCAGTGTTTGACTCCTCTGCCCATCATGGAAGGTGAACCCCACACAGAATGAGTTCCAGCTACAGCCCATTGTGCACTAAACACTTCTGATTTGGAGCACCTTTTAAATTACAATTTAAGCATAACTGTATGCTACTGTAACACCTGTACTAATTTGTCTGAAAGCAGCAGCTCCCCAAGGTACCTCCATGGGCTACATGTTACATTTTTACCTGCAGTACTGATGACATGGATCCTGCTGGAAGGTGGTTCTGGAAGCTCCTCAGATTTGCAGAAACATTCTGTCCCTCTGGAGAGAGATGAATGTCCTCCTATACCAGACCTCAAGTGCTCTCTGTGGCTGTCTGAATTCCAGACTGATTGCAGGTGCTGCTCAGCTTGAGCAGGGTGCCCTCTGCTGGCTGAGATTATTACTTCAGGCTGAACAGGAAGTCGGTCAGTTTCAAACTGGATCAGGCTGTATGTGCCGTGTTTTTGCCCCAGGCTGCACTGTATAGAAACATCAGACCTGCAAGGTCCATGGCTGCTGTCGGTTTGTGTTCCTGCTTCCTTTGTCTCAATGGGGTGTTTTCTTCGTGAGTGCGGTGTCAGCACAAGCTGACCCTCCCTAGTAGTCTTCCTTGGATGTGCTCCTACCCTGAGCTGACTTGGCTGCTCACACCGGCTGTCAGTGGCACATCTCTGATTCTGCCTCGTGACACCTTTACGGTCATCTCCACCCCCGTGCAAGTGGGCTGTAAGCCTCAGAGCAGTAGGTGTCTCTATACAGATGGAGCTCTGTGAGGGGCTGCTCTGATGCCACCAGGAGTCTTCCTCCTGATACAACATAAGTCAGTTTGCACAGAAGTTCCCACAGTGCCCTGGACTCCCGGGATGCACTGAGCAGCATGTGGAGGGTGTTAAGCTTAGGGGCATGGTCAGCAATCATAGAGCTCAGCAATCATACCTCACAGCGTGCATTCAAAAGGACCAAAAGTACAGATGCAGATATGCAAAAGGGAAAGTTGGCTTTAGCGGCAGACTTACATCATCAGTGTCTGTGCTGAGGAAACCGTCTCTGGATGAACAGCTTGGAGTTCCGCAGCTGTTGAGCTGGTTTCCTGTCATTATGTAGTGAGGCTTTTATAATAACCAAGCACTCCATAGAAATTCCATAGAAAAAAAAAGTAGGCATAAAACTCACGTCCTGCCAGCTGTCTGGTGTTTTCAGAAACCTGCTTTGGTATCAATTCAAAAATTGCATATTAATTACTGCTGCATGCAATAAAGAAAAGAAATTCTATTTGATGCACAGATTAACATGATGAGGACCGAACTGTAGTCTAGCCTCTGGATTATCTGAATAATTTTGGTTCTGATAATGCATAAATGTTTAACTCTTACCTGAGACCAAAAACTATAATCAAAGCATCTGCTTGTTGGTTTGTTGAAACTCCTGTGCAAAGAAGAAAGCAGTGAATGTAAAGATGGACACTGCTCTTTCCTTTACATAGAACAGAACCACACTACTCACTGAATCTCTGCAGAATTAAGCTGTGTTTCCTCCTCTTCAGATTCAGCAGCTGTGAAGGCTTATATATCTCATTATTAAGAATGAAAATGAATCATGCTGTCAAGTAACGGAATAAGCAGTTCATACCATAGCAGCTTGGCCTACTCTGGTGAAACTCCAGGTCAGACAACTGTTTGTGGTCCTCCTCTTTATCCAGGGTGAAGCCAAAATGGCCACTGACCTTCTGCCTCACTGACCTGCTTTCTTCTGAACAGCTGTGTGAACTGTCACATAAATGTTTAATGACCTACACAAACAGGAATAAATGTCCACAAACAAGTACTGTTTTCTCATTCACCATGGCTCCACGTTTCCAAACTGTACTCTGCACTCCGGGCTGCTCAGCATCTGTTGTGACCAACTTGATGATTTGATCCAGGGACTCTGCTCTTCAGCGATTCTTGGCTGGGAGAAAGGTACAAACTACCAAGGAGTAAAACAAAGTTAGAGAATGTGAACACTGCATGACGGAAGGGTTTAGGAAGAACAGAAATTCACCATAAAGTGACATACTATGCAAAGTAACAGCGGGATCGCTGAGTACTGAGTGCGTAAAAGTCGCTCAATAACTGCGGTGATTCAAACTGCAAAAATCGTGCGCTGGGACCTTCATGGAATGGGCTTCCATGGCCAAGCAGCTGCATGCAAGCCTCACATTACCAAGTGCAATGCCAAGCATCAGATGGAGTGGTGTAAAGAATGCCACCACTGGACTCTGGAGCAGTGGAAATGTGTTCTGTGGACTAACGAATCATGCTTCTGTCTGGCAGTCTGATGGACAAGTCTGGGTTTGGCAGATGCCAGGAGAACGTTACCTGCCTGACTGCATTGTGCCAATTGTAAAGTTTGGTGGAGGAGATAATGGTATGGGGTTGTTTTTCAGAGGTTGGGCTAGGCCCCTTAGTTCCAGTGAAAGGAACTCTTAATGCTTCAGCATACCAAGACATTGTGGGAACAATTTGGGGTTAGGCCCTTTTCTGTTCCAACATGACTGTCTATGTGCACAGAGCATGGTCCTTAAAGACATTGTTAGGTGAGTTTGGTGTGGAAGATCTTGACTGGCCCATATGGAGGCTCCATTGAACACCTTCAGGGTGAACTAGAACTTGCAAAATTGAAAGCCAAGCTTTCACATCCAACATCAGTGCCTGACCTCACAAATGCTCTGCAGTATGAATGGGCAAAAATCTTGTGGAAAGCCTTCCCAGAAGAGTGGCAGCTGCTATAGCTACAAAGGGTGCACCAGTTCCATATTGATGCTTATGGATTTAGAATGGGATATCATAAAAGTTCCTGTAGGTGCAATGGCCCAATGTCCCAATATTTTGTCCATATAGTGCATAATGTTTGAGGAATGATGCTATTGCTAACTTATTCAGGTTGACTGTCCCTCAGATGATCATACACATAAGTTGGCTTGGGCATTAAATTAGGCTCTTCTTCCCATGCAAAGGACCACCCACCTCTGGCCCAGGCTGAATGCCAAACTTTTCGGACAAGGACTCAGGTTTACATGCTGAGAACAGGCTCAACGTGTCCGTGACGCCATGCTGGTAATCGGGAACGCTGCTATCGGAAAAGCCGGATTCCCACACAGGTGACAGCTGGCAGTAACAAGCGAGCATAGATTGGGTTACATTAATTCAGGAATAAAAAACAACAATTAGTATAAAATAGCTTAAAATTATACTTCTATGCCTTGTAGGTAGTTATTTTACAGGTTTGACGGTTTTTACTGAAAAATTATTAGAAATACACATATTACACCAGAGTGTTTTTTGTGTTCAGGACTCCTTACACGTCCGTGATTCTGTGACTGCGATGTGTGACGTGTTCTCCTTCTCAAACCTAAGCACTGGGCCCTAAAATAGTAAAAAGACAAATTTCACCTTAACACTGAAAATTAAAATGTCAATTAAACCATGTTACAAGAATACACAAAGTAGGAGGTCTGTGTTATGAAGCCTAATAATGCTTTAAGCTTTAAAGGTAAGCTAAGCATTTCGCTGGGCCGGTTCAGGAGCAGCCCAGCACTGAGGTACCTCTGCTGAGGGGAGTTTTCTTCAAGGCACAACGCCGATGGGGAGCAGGGGCTCATGGGCAATTCTATGGGGTTTTTAGGTGCCTTTACGTTCTTGAAGTAGGTTATTTTAGGCTCACCTGAAATTCACAGGTTAAAAGCTCCAGTACGTCTTTAATGATAGCACAACGACAGAAACGATACCAACAATTGACATCGATAATTATTATTAATGTGGAAATATACATTTTTGTTTAAAAGTTCTTGTGATAAATTGTGGAATATGTTCTGCTTGAACTCAGATCTTTGGCATTTTCTTACAGTGATTTTCCTTCTTGGTCGCGATCTGATTCACTACCAACATGGTGACAAGATCCAAACTCCCTGCGCCCTGCGGAGCTGCGGGCTGCCCCGCATGCTTGGTCCTCCGCTCCATCTTCCTCCTTTGGAAGAACTCCTAGGAGACACGTCAAAGTGCATCACAGTTTAGGGGGTTGAAGGAGTGAGTGCTACATTTAAAAAAAAAAAAAAAAAAAAAAAAAAAAAAAAAAAACGGCATCTCGGCGGCTGCTGGAAGCGCGGACATCACCGACCCTCTGCTTCCTCACGTCACTTTTCACCAGGCATCGATCCCTAGAAGACAATAACTCATCTTAATACGTATTTTAAATACAGTGATGCGTGGCTGTTCATATCCAGTAGGTATGAAGGACAGATTATTTAAGTCTTGTACCGTGAGCCGCCCACCCAGTTCATGTCACGTAGTCGGGCCGGTTGATATGGTTCCGTTAGCTCTGGCGGCTCCGCTAGCTTAAACAACCCGGTTAGCTGCGTTTTGCGCCTCGGTAGCTAGCAGCTAATTTCCTCATTTGGCTTTTCGACGGTAAAGTGTTACGTTTACATTAAATATAAACAAATGTCGGCGTGTTTCGGCGAAGTTGTGAGCAGTAATGTCGGCGTATGTGAAGCCGGCGGAGTCACGGCGAAATGTGGAGTCTGACTACTCGTGCTGCACCGGCTCGTGCGTCTCCGTACATCACTGCCTATTGCGCGTGATGAGACTACGGGACTGCGAGATACCGCTGCTACTGTATTACTAATCGTAATCATAATGATGAATCCGTACCAAAAGCAGTAGTGCCAGCATCACGCCCCCCTATCATCATCATCATCATCACCATCATAAAGTAATCGGTCTAAAAGGTTTATTTTGCTGTCACATACCAAGGGCATACCCTAAACTTAACGACATATTGCTACCTAATAATAAAAGGGACATCTTTAAATTTTTAACTGAGATCCTAAAAAGGGAACTGTTCTGTTTTTTGAACAAGGTAACGTGGTAAACAACCCCCACCCCCTTCCCCCAGGTAAGCAGTAATAATTGAGATGCTTGTAAATGTCAACCACGGTAAAGGTGGTTTTATATTTCACATTTAAGCAACATCCAGACTTGGCTGTTAAGGGACTGCTGTACTAAGAGTAGTATTGAGAAACTATATTATAGCTGTCATAACATCACTAAATATTAAGCTAAAACAGCTAGTGTCCCTGCCTTTATACAAACACATAGAAAATCAATTGTGAAACTTCTAAATCTTGATTTTGAATAATTTAAAAAAAAGCTTTTACCATGACCCTGGATGGATTTATCTATTTAATCAATAGCTCAATACATACCTTCTAAAAATAACACAATATGTTTGTGGATACAAGACATGTAGACCAATCTGTTTTTAATTTGAGAACATTGTGAACTGTTCTTGATCCATGACATATACCATCTCATCTAAAATGTCCCTGGTTTGTGGACAGTAGTCCAGCAACCAGGCACATTGCAGTCTGTATTAGATATTAATAATACATTTGATTTATATAGCGCTTTTCAAGAACCCAAAGACACAATAGATAAGGAGAAGACAGCACACACAGAGCACAGCCACACAATACTAATTGCTAAAACACAAAATATACAATCACATAAAGCAGCGTATGTAGACACTGGTCTAGAAACTGTACAGAAATATCACAGTGATTCTTAAAGGGTTCCTGCTAGCGTATTTAAAAATATACATCCTGTCCTCCAGGGTTTCGCTTTAAAAGCTATGCCAACAGAAACAGTTTCAGTATGAAATTAGCATGTCACCTTGACTCATTTATGGGCTAATGGTAAAATGCAGTGTTATACTTCTGCCTTACAGTAATACTGTTCTGCAGTCAAGTATATAAGGCCTTTGATATTGGGAAACAATATTTATAGTTTGTAAATTTAAAATGTACATTCTAAGTATTGAAGATCATTAAATAAAATACACATTCATGACTGTTTCATATAATCCATGTGATTTTAAAATCCCGTTTACAACTAAATTAACTCAGATTGAATATCTTATGCCTCATTCAGACTCATCAATTTGTTTTTGCCAGCATGTGACTCGGCCTGGGACTTGAGCCAGTCACTGTCTATGGAAGTTAAAGATTGCACGGTGGGTAGCTCCCATTAAGACTCCATGGTTGAGGGTTTGAATCCCAACCCTGCTGTATTTGTATGGAGTTTGTTCTCTCTGTGTTACGGAGGTTTCTCAATACATGTATCTAGGTGAGATTGCATCTCTATATCACCCATAGTGTGTGTGTGTGTATGCGCTGTGTGAAACGTTGTAGCCCCTCCCCTAACTTCCCCCAATAGACGAGCAGTTGGAAGATGGATGGATGGTGATATAAATATATATATATATAGCTACAAGCAGGAAATAGGGAGTACAAGCAGCATATATTTACGTAGCAAAAATTCTCTTGTCAAAAGGCCTGAAGATATATAGACATATTTGTAGTCAAGCTCGGATTGTGCTATTTATACTAAATTTAGAGCAATGTTACAGTTTCAGCTTCATCACTGAAATGGTCGTGAACTCTTTTTTTTATTTATAGTGAGTTCATACTGAATGTATTGTAAAATGTCATGGTTTATTTCAGTGCCCCAGCAGAGCCAAATTCTGCAAAAATTTTAAGTGCTGTCCAAAGATGCACCCCCTCCAAAAAATACTATCTTTCACAATAATGAATTAGCTTGTTAGGGCCATAAAGGTACAGTTTAACAAATCCACTTTTCAAAACATTACAGTGCCACCAATAACCCATGGCTGGGAAAGAAAACATCTACTAGGCTACTTCAGAAATGTCATGCCAGCTGAAATAGATGGGAATATGACAAGCTGATCAATCTACTAGCTGTACAGAGCTATCACAGAACAATGTCAGAAAAATGAGCTATACAAATAAAATTGAAGTGAATTAAATTGAACTGTCTATTTTTGTGGTCAGCAGTTTGGAGCTGTTTTTGAAAGTTTTGCCAAGTAGGATGCCAATGACTGGACCATCTTTCCACCTGAAACCAGTTTTGTCTGTAGGCTACATGGTTCATCGGCCGTGGTCCAAACGTCGCATACAATTAGTGTGTTCTGAGATATAGTGACATCTTCTGGCCACTTTGTTTGCATCTGAGATCAGCGGGGTGACTTTAGATCAGACCTTTCCAGCTCTGTGACTTACGGGTTTTTGCGTTGAGCATCCCTTTATTAGAGCGGCCGGGTAAGACCGTGGCTGTCACACTGGAGGGGTGGGTTTGTCACGGTCTCAGCCAATCGGCGGCTCCGGGGGGCGAGGCTTCGCGGAGCACCGAGCGGAATCAGCCAATCAGCGACCCAGGGAGGCAGAGCTTCGCGCCGCACCGTGCGCCGGCGTTCTGCTCGCTCCCGGTGCAGTCCGCTGCGGAACTGCTGTGGATGCTCCAGATGGACAGGACGCGGAGCAGCGGGGGGGATTAACCACGGCGTTTTTGTGTCCCCGGTGAGTATCGTGGAAAAATGTCCAGCATTTTGCACGCAACGTCCAAAGCAAAATGGAACCGGTCGGCCGCTGCGAAGCGGGCTGTCCTCTTGGTGGCCGCTGCGTACGGGGCGAAGGCTCTGTACCCCATCATCTGCAGACGGATCCGCGCGAGGAAAGACCCCCGGAGCACCGTCGCCGCACCGGTAGAGGAAAACGGCTCGCTGCTGCCGCTCTCTGCCACCCCTTGCGCCCGGTCCCCCGCCGTGAACGCAGAATTCTTCCGGCAGATCGCCGAATTGGCGCGGATCCTCTTCCCCCGGCTGCTCGCCAAGGAGGTCGGGCTGCTCTGTCTGCATTCGGTGGCCCTGGTCTCTCGGACCTTCCTCTCCATCTACGTGGCCGGCCTAGACGGTCAGATCGTGAAAACCATCGTGGAGAAGCGGCCGCGCAGCTTCGCGCTGAAGCTGATGCGCTGGCTGCTGGTCGCCATCCCGGCCACCTTCGTGAACAGCGCCATCCGTTACCTGGAATGCAGGCTGGCGTTGGCGTTCCGGACCCGCCTGGTGGACCATGCCTACCGGACCTACTTCACGGACCAGACCTACTACCGGGTCAGTAACATGGACAGCCGGCTGGCGAACCCGGACCAGTCTCTCACAGAGGACATCATGGTGTTCTCGCAATCGGTGGCGCATCTCTATTCCAATCTGACCAAGCCCATCCTGGACGTACTGCTCACCTCCTACACGCTGATCCAGACGGCCCGGTCCCGGGGCGCCAGCGCCAGTGGACCCACCCTGCTGGCCGGGCTGGTGGTGTTCGTTACCGCCAAGGTACTGCGGGCTTGCTCGCCGAGGTTCGGGCGGCTGGTGGCGGAAGAGGCGCACCGACGGGGACACCTCCGTTACGTGCATTCGCGCATCATCGCCAATGCCGAGGAGATCGCCTTCTACCGGGGCCACGCGGTGAGTCACGGCCGGTGCATTAACGAGCGGCGCACCGGAGCCTGGCTGCGTCCGCCTGCCGCATCTCCTCCCCCTATGCAGCACCGTGTCTCTCCTCTCCACCCAGGTGGAGATGAAGCAGCTGCAGAAGTGTTACAAAGCCCTGGAGGAGCAGATGAAACTCATCCTGTCCAAGCGCCTGTGGTACATCATGGTGGAGCAGTTCCTCATGAAGTACGTATGGAGTGGCAGTGGATTGGTCATGGTAGCCGTGCCCATCATCACAGCCACCGGCTTCGCCGATAGCGGTGAGTCCGCCCGCCGCGGCGCTTTAAGAAGTTCCCAGACCGGTAAAACGACTGCGGGGGAAAACAGCGCCTTCGATGTGTTTTTTACCGAAATGACGCGTCTATTATCCGCGAAGCCGCATAACTCATAATGTGCTTTGATTTCCTGGGAGTGAGTGTGTCTGTGTGTCTTTAGCATGTGTGTGTGAGAGTGTGACGCACGGGATGCACATCTGGCCTGACTGAAACTTCGCCCACCTTCTGAGATTATAATGAAACTGTGAATTTATTTAAGTAATGGTTTTTGAGTCATAAAGTGACCTTTCCCCTGTAATTGTATATCGAGGATTATATCCGGGAAATTATATCAAGTTTCAAAGCCCACAGGTTTCTTAAATATGTGGATATTTGCAGACAAAGCAAATATCCACTATTTAACATTTTAAACGGAAGGTCAAAGTCTTACTGTGATAAAGTAGCTTACAGATGGGACTGATGGCCTTGGGTGTCATAGCTGTGGTCATAGGGCTGAACAAATGGGCAGTGTTTACCTAATTAGTTAGGGAAGTGCGCTTGTGATCAAAAGGGTCCTGGTTTAAATCTCCATTCAGCAAGGTACCCCTCCCAACGCACTGCTCCCCAGGCACCTAAATAATAGCTGCCCACTACTATGTGTTAAATGTAGAGGGCACGTTTTGTTGTGGTGTGTTAACCAGGACGGTTTTTCCACATGCGTAGATAGCTTGTCATTCCTCATCATTCATCATTCAGCCACAAATGATCCCCAGACTAGTGTCACCAAGCAGGGGTGACGCTGGCATTGAGAGCGATACACTTTTAGTAGTGCTGCACATATGTGGAAAGTTTGGCTGATACCAGTAACCAATACATAACCTGCTAACCTGTGAGCTCCACATATCTGTAGTGACATTGATGATGGTGACGTTACTTCAAAAGATCTCCTGAATGGGTGTGGTACCTTGGGAGACTGTGACGAGGTTCTAAGTGGCAAATGAGCCAACAAAACCGTTTACCCCCCAGTACGGAAAATGGCTGATCATTCAATGGAATCCTCTACGTTATTTTAATATTTGTCTTTTAGCGCCTGTACTGCAAACTATGAATATCTACTAAAGTCTAAAAATCAGCTGACGAATCGAACCGATGCCGGTATCTTTATTTTTGACGAATATCAGCCGATACTGATATGATAACCAATATATCGTGCATCTCGAAGCGTTTGGCTGTGATTCGTCATTACTTCTGTGGCTGGATAGAAGAAAGAGCCATCCATGGGTCCTGTGAATAAGCAAAGGTTCACCTCGGGGACGTCTTCTGTTGCAGAGCTCGCCGACGGCCAGACCCAGGTGCTGGTGAGCGAGCGGACAGAGGCCTTCACCACGGCGCGCAACCTGCTAGCGTCCGGCGCCGACGCCATCGAGAGGATCATGTCTTCATACAAGGAGGTGCCTCTGTGTTTTTTGTACTTGGCTTCCCTCGTGATGTGATCGGGGGGGGGGGGGGGCATCCCATCACCCCTACCCCCGGCAGAGAGGTGTATCTCTGAAAAACAGAATATGACACGTCACTTTATGCGGTCATCAAAAATTAGACTTTTACGAGGGATAGAGAGTGAATTAAACCCAAGAACTTTCCAGTGGTTTCATATGTTTGTTTGGTGATCCATCTCCCAGCCTCTTCCTGCCATCTTCCACAACAGGACTCCATAGAGATCACCATTTCATTTGATGTCTAATTTTGTCAGTGGTAAATGCTCTTTGGTGCCGGCAGCTGGAGACGCCGCAGTGTCCCCTGATGCTTTTTGAAGAGCAGTTCACTTGATGCTCAGACTGCAATGTCATCATGTTGAACGAAATCAGTTTTGTGGTAAAAGCACCCCCACTCCCCTCCACCTCATATCTCCCCCCCAGAAGCACTGCGAATAGATCCAGTGTCTCCCTAAACAAGAGTCAGGGGTGAGCATTTGGCATCGGTTTTGTCCTTAAATACGACATTAAGGCCCCACTCACAGCACGGTCTGTGCCCATGGCCCTGAGAAAGCACCTTATTTAGGGCTTATTTTTAGGATGTGGGTCAGTGCTGTGAAATGTGCTGCCGGCTATTTTTGGGATTGCCTCTGAATCGGAGAAAGAGACCAAGTTATACCCGTGTGGCTTTCCCGTGAGCTGCAGTTCTAAATGTTAGTGTGCTAAATGCTAACGTGCTAAACGGCAGCATGCTAAATGCTGAAGCAGAGGTTTGGGTTCTCCAGGGGAAGGTAAATCACACGCTCTGCAAGGGGGTGTTCCTGTTTCGGCCCTGTGGGCTCTGCGGTCATGGCTGTGTGCGTCTGTCAGTGCATCTGTCAGTGCATCTGTCTGTTAGTGTGTGCCCATGTTTGTCTTTTTGCATGTGTCTGTGTGTGTCTTTGTGTGTGTGAATTAATGTGTGTGTGTCAGTGTATGCATGCATGTCTGTGTGTCTAGAGGTTTTACTTTTTTGGGGAAGTCCCATTTAAAAAAGTAAATCCACAAATACAGCAAAGTGAAAATGAAAGTCCAGAACGTTTCCTTTAAAAACTGCAAGAGCAGGTTTAAGGATTATCAATTGCAATTGCAGCGTGTGTGTGAGTGTGTGTGAGAATGAGTATGTGGTCGTGTATGTATTACATTGTGGGGACCAGATGTCCCCAAATCTGTGACTGCAATCAAAAAACAAAAAATTCCAGAAGTCTTGTATTTTGTTTCGTTACTGATGATTAAGGTTAGGGCTGGGTAGGGGTTAAGGTCGGGAAGTTGTTGGGGTTAAGGTTTTCCACTAGAAATGAATGGATGGTCCCCACAAAGATATAACAGAGATACAAACGTGTGTGTGTCTGTGTGTGCATGCATGTGTCTGTGTGTGTGTGCGGGTTTGATGGGGACGGCACCCCCTTCTGCACACTGTGCTCTGAGAGATCGGCACTGAAAGCTGCACTCAGCCTGTTCGTCTGTCCAGCATCACAAATCGGTGCCACTATCAGAACGAGATCCTGGCCTGTCCTGAATAAGCCCCTGTCTGCTTAACATGCAGCAGAGGCGAGAGGCCCCCAGAGGCCAGCCCACGTCCTACATGCGCGGCCCAGGCCTGTACTCCCGGCGCATAACAAGTGACCAGAGAACGGATCTCATTGGTAGATTGGGATCGCCGTGGTGACAGGAGCAGGAGCAGACGCCTGCATCCCAAAGAAGCATGCCTCTCTCGCTCCACAGCACCTCGTTACTCACATGGACAAAAGGAAATGGTGAATGTAAAGCTTTTATTGGGGACTGGTGATTCTCATTATTAAAAGGAGTTAGAAAATGACTGAAATCTTTAAGCTTTGTGGCATGGAAAATGAAACTTCAGGGTAAATGTACGGGCAGTGCTGTTTCCGCATATTCCCACATTTCCAGGTCCATTTTCCGGGAAGCTTTTAAGGCTCATTAAAAGAGCCACATAAGCGGTCATCTAGGCTCATGTAAACGCCTGTGGATTGGTTGCCGAAGTGTCACATGGCCACACGCCTTGCAGCATGGAGTCCCTTGTCTCCTGGCTGAAGCTTCTTAAATGGGGGAAAAACTCCCAGGCAGAAAAAGCATATAATTGGGATCCTTCTGTTTCGTCACCTGGAAACGTTGGCTTTGCTTCCTCATGTCGGCTGGCACTTTTTGAAAAGGACGTTGATGAGGAGGAAACCCTTCGGCCCTTGTGTGAATGTTAATCCCTGAATCGGCCTCCTGTCTCTAACTGGTTTCACACCTTTGTATGTAAATACCAACATTCACGTTGTGATTCTGTGCATTCTCACGCTGTTCCAAATTTCCGCTAAATGTTAATAGAGGTTACTGGCTGCCAGTGCACGGAACTGATGAATCTCATCCCATCATCACACTATTCCATGAATGTTTTCCCGTGTTGAGAGTGTGTACACATTGCAGGTCATGTGACCGTACTCAGAAACGACCTGCTCTGTCACAATGACCTCGCTTCCCCAAATGACCGAAATGCTACTTGCCTCTGGGTTGCCTGACCGCACGTTCCTCTCCCCTAACAGGTGACAGAGCTAGCCGGCTACACGGCCCGCGTGCACAACATGTTGGCTGTGTTCGACGAGGTGCAGCAAGGCATCTACAAGCGGGCAGCAGTGTCCCAGGCGGGGGAGGGCGAGAAGAGCCCAGTGCCCATGCACATCGACGGCCCCCTGGAGATCACAGGTACGGGCAAGAAACGTGCATGTGAGATTCAAGGAAAGTGGACAGACAGCAGACAGAATTACCGGCACATAAACACAGCAGCAACACAGTTCGAACACAGCAGCAAATGCAAACAGGGTGAAACGGCCCAGCAGGTATAACGGCGTCAGATTGTTCGTTGACTTGTCCACCTCCTGAGGGGATGCTGAATGTAAAGAGAGAGATGGCAAAGTACACAGAGAGCATCCCAGAGGACCAGGCCGTGTCCCCCCTATTCCAGCTGCTGACATTTCGGTTATTATTCTAGGCAGCTGAATGATGATGGTCATCGCTTTTCATGAAGGGTGCTATCACTGTAGGTACTGTGGTTACGTGGCCCATCCAAAAACCAGCTCATGGGAGTTTTACTTACACAGAAATGTTCTGGGGGCAGAAGGAAAGATGATGTCTAGGTCCTGCCTCTTCTAGTTGCTTGGACCCACCCCCTCCACAATCTGGTTATCTCTCTGAATCAATAATTTCTCATTCTGCCCTCAGAACATTCTTGTGTAAGTAAAGCTCCCACAAGCCAAAAACAAAAAACTTGTACCTTAAAGGTCTTCTGTTTAGTGACCTGCACACTGTTTCTTTGTTCACATTCTATCATTATTGTATCAGACACATTATTGACTGGGTGACCTTTCTGATCTTTTTGTTTGAACATTTATTATAGACATTTTTCTTCCCACAAGAACTGGAAAAAACAATTAGAACAATTTTTCCTTACTTCTATAACAAAAAGTGTTGATATTCCAACAGGGAGAGTTGTCGACGTGGAAAAAGGTATAACATGTGAAAGTGTCCCCATAATAACTCCCAACGGGGATGTCGTGGTGTCCAGCCTGAACTTCAAGGTATGGACTGGGAGTGGCAACAGCATGAATCCAGGAACTTCAGTTATACTCAGTGTCAACCTCCAGATAAACCAACATGCCTGTCTTTGTCTCTTTCTATCTGTCCCTCTGTCTGTCTGTGTCTATGTCTCTCTCCATCTGCCTATTTCACTGTTTATCTGTGTCTCTGTCTCTTTGTGTCTCTGTCTGTCTGTGTCTCTACCTGTCTGTCTCTGTCCGTTCATCTGCCTGTCTCTCTGTCTGTCTGTATATGTCTTTGGCTCTCTCCATATGCCTGTTTGTCTGTCTGTCTGTTTGTGTCTCTTTCTCTTTGTGTCTCTGTCTATGTCTCCATCTGTCTGTCTGTGTCTTCGTCTATGTCTCTGTCTGTCTCTCGGTCTCTGTTTGTATCCATCTCCGTCTGTCTCTCTTTCTGTCTCTCTATCTGTCTATCTGTCTGTCTTTCCATCTGTCTGTGTCTCTGTCTATCTGTATATGTCTCTGTCTGCTTGTATGTGTTTCTGCCTGTCTGTCTGTATGTTTTTATTTCTGTCTGTTTATTGGTCTATATGTCTATCTGTCTGCCTGTGTCTTTGTTTCTGTCTGTCTGTGTCTCTGCCTGTCTGTATTGCTCTCTGTCTGTCTGCCTGTCTGTCTGCCCGCCTGTCTGTCTGTATCTCTGTCTGTCTGTGACTCCCCCTGCAGGTAGAGGAGGGGATGCACCTGCTGATCACAGGCCCTAATGGCTGTGGAAAGAGCTCTCTCTTCCGCATCCTCAGTGGGCTGTGGCCAGTGTACAATGGCCTCCTGTACAAGCCATCCCCCGAGCACATGTTCTACATCCCTCAGAGGTAGGAAGGCATCGTCCCACCCCAGCCGCCATATCGCCCCCGGTTCCCCTGTGCCAGAGCCTCCTCCGGTTCTTCCTCTCCGTACCCAGGGAGTCCACCTTGCACTCCCATTTGCACCCAACCAGAATCAGACTGTGCTAGCTACTCCTGGAGCTAAACAGCCACTGGAGTAACTGGAGCCAGTGACGGCATCCTGACAGTGGAAACCGGAGCCCGGGGTAGTGAAATAACGGCCTGCAGGGGCCTGGGCAGCAAGAGCTCGAGCTGAGTAGTAAATATTTAATATACAAATACATGTGGGTCAGCCGAAAGCAGATCGCTGAGGTGGCTGCCTGTTCCCAGCGAATAGGAACCTGAGCCACGCCGTGCCGGTGCATTTCTGACCAATAGGAGGCCGAGGATGTGGCCTTGGTCGATGAGCTCTTTTGATAGATGGGTCGTCAGCAGATTCACACGGCTTGGTTATTCCTGTTAGATATCAGACAGCTCTGCAGGCAGACGCCAGACCCTATGAAATACATGCAGTACCAGTCAGAGGCTTTAACACCATTAGTGCCACATACAGAAGGGAAGGGAACCGAATGGAAATGGACTGAGGAAAAATGTTACATGACAAAGCGCCTAAATAATAGATCTATATAATATCTAAATAATAGACTGATCCTAATAGCCACCAACAAACTCTGGGCACTTGAGATGTTTCAATCTTCAAGTTCCCATGGAACTCTCCCACACTGCTAGAGAACCTCCTAGATCATCTTCTCCATTCTTCAGAGAGTCCTGGCAGAGTACTTACACTGGCTACACTGAGAGACATTTCATTTGTTCACTCGTTCTTCCTATCCAGACCTTATATGTCCCTCGGAACCCTGCGAGACCAAGTCATCTACCCCGACACGGTGGAGGACATGCACACCAAGGGGTACAGCGACTCGGACCTGGAGCTCATCCTGGACATAGTCAACCTCAACCACATTGTCACCCGCGAAGGAGGTACATTCACACCAGTGGGGCTTCATAGTCCTGCATCAGTAATGCTGAGAAAATGTTGAAAAAGAAACACTGATATAATGTCAGACATTGGCTGTTCAGGGAATGAGGAGATACAGCTGTTTAGTTGCCATTTTCACCCAGTTCAGTGACCTACATACATTGTTGGGCATTTCAGGTCCATAAACTACAAATCCAGATCAAGATTTTGTTGCTACCAACTAGTTAAGTTTGAAGATTCACAGTCACAGAGTACTCAGCTGGTTGGTAGAAACAACATCTTGTTGGACACCAGTCAGCCTTGAAACCTCTGGTCTCTGACTCAGACTGCAGGTCTTGTAAATTGCGTTCAGAGTCTGTCACACTGCAGCATCACCGAGTATAACGTTACCGAGGCGATGATCCTGGATGACGTTCGTCGGTGTCTAAACCTGGAGCATTTATATAGGTCTAAAGGTCCTGAGGGCTGAGCTGAGGAGGTGTGGGTGCCGTTGGCAGCCTTGGTGTTGGGGGCTCGGCTTGTTTGTGCTGAGGCGTCTATAAATATGCGCCTACGTAGGGCGTCTCGCTTAAGGAAGCATCATTATCTGGATGGGTGGAGGTGTTGGTGACACATCTGATCTTCTGCGGCCTCCAGGTTGGGATGCAGAGATGGACTGGAAGGACGTTCTCTCCGGGGGAGAGAAACAAAGGATGGGGATGGCCCGCATGTTCTACCACAAGTAAGAGGAGCGTCCGGCGGCGTTCTGACCATGTCATATAGCGGCGTACTGCGTCAGAAGATAACAGATGTTTTGAGCGGAGAGTGGGCGCTGACCCTGTCGAATCCCACAGGCCAAAGTACGCCCTGCTGGATGAATGCACGAGCGCCATCAGCATCGACGTGGAGGGCAAGATTTTCCAGGCTGCGAAGGATGCTGGGATCTCGCTGCTGTCGATTACCCATAGGCCTTCTCTCTGGTGAGTAAACTGCGGCAGTTTCAGAATCCTTCCTTAGGCATTCTCCTCAGCTTCAGGTGGACCTGGGCACCTTTATCAGTGGGTGCCAGACCAAACACCAGAAACAGGGGTAACGTGTGGTTCAGTGCATTTAGGATGCTGTGCCTGTGATCAGAATCCTGGTTTGAATCTTAGGGTCTATAGAATGATTTAATCATTTGGCCCTTCAGCAAGCTCACTAACCCACAATCGCTCTAGGGACCGGCTGTCCTTGTTTTCTAAAAAAACTATAAATCCTTTCAGATCAATGTGTCTTCTAAATAAATAAAAATGAAAATGGACACTCCCTATCCCCCCCGCGAGGCAGCAGTTGTGCGTACCTCCACTGTCGCAGAGAGGTTGGGGTAAATTGACAGCTCTCTGCATCCTCTTCCACGTGCCCAGGAGGTACCACACGCACCTGCTGCAGTTCGACGGCGAGGGGGGCTGGCGTTTCGAGCAGCTGGACACGGCCACCCGGCTATCGCTGACCGAGGAGAAGCAGCGGCTGGAATCACAGCTGGCCGGAATTCCCAAAATGCAGCACAGACTGAACGAGCTCTGCAAGATCCTGGGAGAGGATTCGGTGCTGAAGACGGCGCCGTCCGCCGAGTGACAGGCGGATGAGTACGGCACCAAGGCCCGGCATGCTCCATCCTAACGCTTTTAGGGAAGTGGAATCAGGGATTTCAGGAAAACCACTCTTAGGATTTTAAATTGTGAATGTGATCGTTGGACATGCTGAGAGTGACTGGCCTGTTTGTCCCTTACCCATCAAACCTGTCCTCTTGATGGCTGTTATTTGGACCGGAGGTTGTGGTATGAGCCTCGTTCACGCGCTCGTTTCATTTATATTTCCTTTATACTGCTTGGTAATATTGTTTCAGACGCTGACTCCATCGTCTGGGCTCTGTGATCCTGAAACACCGTGTCGTCTCTGAGCAGTGACCCGCTTGGAGTGTCAATGTGACAACAAACCCATTATAAGTGAAGATAGATCGGTGGTAGAAGGAGCATTCACTAGTGACACGGTGAGGGCCAGAAGGTCACTTCACCTGAAGAGCTGCTGTCCCTTTAGATGTCACATGTCCAGAAACATCAGGCTGCTAGCCTGCTCCCTGAAAGCTCCCATCTGATTGGTCGCTTTCATAATACAGTCCTGTCTGATAGGTCACAATGATAATCTATCCACCATACAGTCTCGTTTGATAGGTCACATGTCCAGGACACATCCACTATGAATTCAAATAATGTTAATAAGTTGATTAGGTACACCTGCTTCTTAATGCTAACAGCCTGCTCATCCAAACAGCCAATCATGTGGCCGCAGCTGAATACATACAGCACACAGACAGGGTCTGTCTGGCTAAGCATTACAACAGCTAAGATGCCTGACCTAAGCGATTTTGCTCATGGCGTGACTGTTGATGTACAATCGTGGTAGTCCCAGACACGCACCACATTGTTCAGAGTTTACAGAGGATGGTGCAATAAACAAAAAACTCCCAATCAGGGGCATGAACACCATGTTAATGAGAGAGGCCAGAGGGGGGGTTAAAAGCCAACAGGAAAACCACAAGGGCAAAAATAAAAAACTGAGTAAGACAGTGACGAACGGAAAGGCATCCATGATCACACGATCCACCAAGACTTGAAGTGGTTCTGGAGAAAGGGGTGTTTGGCATTGTACATGGTACCAGCTAGGTGTCCCTAATGAAGCACCACGGTATGGGTCACATGATACAACGCCACACCCCCAAGCCCCTTAATTAGCGAAAGTCAGCAGGTGCTAATCTCTGTTTCAGCTGCTCCACCTGATGTCATGTTTACAGGCCTGTGTTCTTGAGAATGAGGAAAGCAGGACCCTTTTCTGTGACGCGGTCAGCGGGCGACTTTGCCCATTTGATGCTCATCCCTCATGCCCTCCTACAAATTCAGAATTGTCCCACAATAGATCATAGTCTCGATGTCGCACGACACGAAACTCACTGTTGATTTTTAGCATGTTAGCCATCTTTGTGGTTCACTGTTGCAAGTCTTGCATAGTTCCTCTTTTGAATTAGAAACTAGTTTTTAAGATACTGCCAAACCATTTTCTTTCTGTTTCGATTATGCAGTTTTGTGCATTTTAATTATGATAGCTGTTTATCATGTAATATCCAGAATCAACCCCTGTTGTTTTTTGTCTGTTATGTAATGTTTAAGCATTTACATCATCTCAGACTGTGAGACTGAAAATGTGATCATTTTAATGTTATTGTTGAATGATAATTCTTATTACTGGAGAAAAAAAAAACATTTTTGTTCATGTAACAAAAGAATTTTAGAATAGTTTGCTTGAATGAGGCAATGTGAATGATTAGAAAGACCGGCTACCCACCTGTCCCACACCGTAGGGTGTTCAGTGAGGTCAGTTGGCCTCCCGTCCCGCACCGTAGGGTGTTCAGTGAGGTCAGTTGGCCTCCTGTCCCGCACCGTAGGGTGTTCAGTGAGGTCATTTGGCCTCCCGTCCCGCACCATAGGGTGTTCAGTGAGGTCAGTTGGCCTCCTGTCCCGCACCGTAGGGTGTTCAGTGAGGTTACTTAGCTTCCTGTCCCACACCGCAGGGTGTTCAGTGAGGTCATCTACAATCCTGGACCAACTTTTACTAGCTAAAAGGTGCTGAATTATCGTGACAGCAGAGAAACACTGGAAACAGCTCACTGTCTTCTGTTACCCACCAGTTTTACCCAGTATGAGGCCCCCAGCCTCAGCAGATTCATTCAGCAGATTGCTGTCTGGGTGACGCCAAGCGGGAGATTGGCTCTTTCGCACGCTGACTGACAGAGTCATGCTTATGGTCTGCACTGTATATGAAAGAGTCTCGCTGCTTCTCACTATAGGAAAAGTAGCCGCTGTCAGCCACCATGAACAATCTCAGACACAGCCGTCATTCAGCACGGACATTTCTTCATGCTTTACCTTGATACAGGCACATCAAAAAGGACATCGAAACATTTATTAAGGTTTAGCCTGAATGTGATACTGCATCCGGGGATTGAGATATGTGTAAATATTGCTTTGCCATGATTTTTGAATAAATGCAAGAGACAACACGGTTATTTCTGAAAATCTTCAGCGGGAATTCTGTCTTGGGGGGTGCTTTGGGTTGGGGGGGGGCATGTAAAGCCTGGTAATGCTGATAAATGTCATTAAACTCTTGGTGGATGTTAAAGAAACCTTGTCTTTTAAAATCAAATAAAACAATCCTGACAGTTTCCTCCGTAGCTAGGAAAAAATGTCCCGCCCGAGAAATTCTTGCAGGTTTTTTATATACTTATCTCCTGTTTGAAACATGAAACAATCTTTAAACTACTACAGCAATGTCAACAAAACTAGCTGTACAACACAGATGTCACTGAACTGTTTGCGTATAGAAGTAGATATGACAATTCTGTTTTCATTTCAAGACAGATCAGAGATTAGGGTTATGTAGCTATTGGTAAATGGGCTATTGGTAAATAACACCAACTGGGATGTAACCAGCGATATGCAGCATGTATGCTGCACTGTTCACACTAAAATGTCGCTCGGTTTGTAAGTTTGCATAAGCTGACCCCAGTATGTAGCATGTTTATGGGATGCTGTTAAAATCACACTCTCCATTTTTCATGCGATTTGCTGAAGTTTTACTGTTCTGCTGAAAATGTAGACCTTTGCAGTTATAAAACAGATTATTTCTGAAGCTGAAAGTCCTTCATTCCCCCTTTCCCATCCAGGATAAGTGGCTGGGAGATGGAAAGGTGGCTGAATCCAACATCCTAATGGGCATGACTGGGATTTGCATTTTAATAACTAATTTAATGTAAATTAGCTGTGGTGCCCAGTCATGTTTGTTTTGTTCTAGAATGCAGCAGGAACCACTGTGCTCAGGCAAGGCCACACTGGAAGCTAATTGGCTCAGGAACACTTTGCTGCAAATTCCAACACAGCTCGTCACCATGCCAACATTATCCCTGCAATCATGCATGGTGGAGACACTTTACTGTCAGAGGGCATCTACTAAACAGGAACTGGAAGTGATAGAGAAAAATAATCAATCTGCTTAAACTGGGGGGGAATCATTTTGCAGAAAAACAAAAAAGAACAAATGTGGGTTGGAAATAAATGACAGCTTCCTGGTCAAAGCCCAGACCAGAATCCTTGTAAAAATGTAGAGCACTTCTGTCCAATAGTTTGAGCAGATCTCCTGGTTGTACAGACAAATATTTCACCAAATTAGATTCATACTGTAACTGCTGCCAAAAGCACTGCCATTGATTCAGATTTATGGAATCCATTTATCCAAACAGTTTATTTCATTTGTGTTTTTCAGCCGTGCAAATGGTCAGTACATACTGTTATGTGAAAATGGAACTCTGTAGAAAAGGTCAGAATATTCTGGAAAGGCATGGCATTTATTTACTAACGGGAGGTACACTTTCAAGTATGAATGTTAGGTGTTGCGTTCCTATGCTGCTATTTAGTGGTGATATTCTGTGTGATATGAGAGTGTGTAAGGGCCAGCCTGCTCTTGGCAGTGCAGCTGTATGTGACTTGAAGTCAGCATTCCCCTGCTGTTAACACGTTCAGTGGCTGAACCCGCACAGTTAGCACCTGTGTGCAGACATCATCCGTGGGTATAAACAGCCAGCTTGTCATACAGACCAGCTGTGGTTGCTGAATTTCAGGCGTTATGTTACGTAGCTCACAGATGTAGCACTACACAGGCAGAGCATACTGGGCCTGTGAGAAGAACATCGATGAGGCTCTGAAAGTAATGACTTTGCCTGCTTACTTGTTTACAACAACAACAACAAATTTATTTTTGTATAGCGCATTATCACAACATTACATCGTCCCAAAGCGCTTTATAGCATCCCCACCCAAAGCCCCCAGTGAGTAAGCCATAGGCGACAGTGGCAAGGAAAAACTCCCTAGAAGGAAGAAACCTTGGGAGGGACCAGACTCAAAGGGGGAGCCCATCCTCCAGGGGCCGGCAGGGAGAGTCAGATACAGTAAATTTTGAGACACAAACGGGGAGCAGGGGGGAGATGGCAAGCCGGTGCCAACGCTCCCTCCAATCGCCAGGCAGCCAGAAGGCAGGGAGCGGGTCATACAAGGAAGATGACACAGGCAGAATGGCGAGCTGGATGCACGGACGTCATTGGTAGTGGCGACGTCACATGTTGCAGGGTGTGCTGGACATCTTGATAGATTGAGGGCTCCAGGCAGCACCCCCCAGCAGAAGTAGGGGAAATAAATGCAATTAGTCAAATTAGTTTACTGTTGCAATTAGTTTACTGTTGCTCTTGGTTATATGTGGCCTCAGTTATGCCGCAGTTATCCTGGTGGGAGGCCTGCCTTCACACAGACCCTCCCCAGTTATGCCGGTGGGAGGCCTGTCTTCACATGGACCCTCCCCAGTTATGCCGGTGGGAAGCCTGCCTTCACATGGACCCTCCCAATTTATGCAGGTGGGAGTCCTGCCTTCACACAAACCCTCCCTAGTTATGCTGGTGGGAGGCCTGCCTTCACACAGACCCTCCCCAGTTATCTGTGTTTGGTGCAGTGCAGAAGCTTATTGCCAAGTGACATGCCACACAGGAGTTCTGGTCCAGAACCAAAGGGGATAAAGTCAGATCCAGGTCTGACGGAGATAGAAAGCAGGCCTTGTGCCGGTTCAGTTTGGGTCACACAGCTACGGACGTCCCACAGAGAACCGACGTTAAGGCTGCTTTGGAATACAAGATTCTGGTGACAGTGCAAGGCGGGGCCAGCTGACGTGCACTTCAAAAGGATAAGAGAAATCGGATAGATGGTATCTTAGAAACTACTACCTTAAATAAAAGTAAATCACTGCTGAATTAAATACAGGCATTACAGTGGATTAATGCACAGGCTATGCTAGGTTATAGCCAATGGCACCAGCAAAATAAGGGGCCCCACCTGGTTAATCAGGGGCCCTGCATCGGGAAAAACTGAACTGATTATTAAAAAATCTGTCTCGTTCCTCTTTCGACTCATAAAATAGGCCTATTTCAGGCAGACCGCTCTACACGTGCCTACTACCAAGTGAGCTATGCAGATTACAAAAAGCACTTCGTTTCATTCCAACTTACTGCCATCTAGTGGTGAAATCTCTGTCTAATTTATGATTAATGGCAATCGTGAATGTTCTGATTGCATCACTAAATTACTGTGAAGGATTTTCAGTTGCGTGATTTTATTTAACGTTTATAAACCTCGGTTACACCTCGTGTCTCAAATGTGATGCTTTTCCTTAAGTCTACCCCCTTCTTCAACAATAAAATTTGTCCAGTTTTTAAGATATGCTTATATTTTGTATTTAAGCCCATATGATACTCATATGCAGGGGCGTTGCTAGAGATTTTGGGCCCCATGAAAGCATATCATATTAGGCCCCCCAGTCCAAACCAATCCAGTTATTTTCCTAATTTTTTAGGGCCCCTGTCACTCAAGGGCCCTTGGAATCGTCCTAGCTTTCCTCCCCCTTACGGCGCCCCTGCTCATATGTAAATCAAACCGACCTCTACATAATAACTAGAAATTTTCAGTCCCATACACCGTAAACAGCAACCGAGCCAGGATGCGTACTGAAGTACTCCTTATGATCACAAGGGGGCGCTCACCTATGATGATTTGCCCTAAATAATAGCTTAATATATGAGGAAAATGCAGATGTCGCCTATCCATATAACGTGTAAATGACTGTCGGCTTGATTATCATATATGCTTGAGATTCATGTAAATTATTCATCTGCTTCCTCCTCCCCTTCTTTAAAATAGAAATATATTTACAAAACACGACTACCGCCACCAATGCCATGAATTTCTCAAAAGTTCAGTAGCTTTTTCTCTGGTTTGTGTTCGTGGATGTGGTATCTTTAGCTACCCAAATCAGCATCACACCGAGCATACCACGATGTGCTGAAACAGGTAGGCCATCAACAAAAGGAACATAAACAACATTACGTCATTCATCAAAATATTATTTGCACGGGCAGGTTAGGTGTAACTTAATGAAGATGCTTTCCGCATATTTGCTTTTATTTTGGACTCAGTGAGGGTTTGTGCGGCGGCGGTTGACATCCCCCCCCTCCGGTCGCAGTGCCGTTACAGCGTCGCGAAGGCGTTCCCAGGCGCGAGGCGGTGCAGTGGGGAGGGCGCCGCTGGGGGCGTGGCCTGCTGACGCATTGCGGCTCGGCAAGCTGGGGATCGGGATCCCCGTCCGTGCAGATCCTACTCCGAGCGCAGTCCGGTCCGGTCCGGGAGCCGGCCGAACGACGGGTTTGCTAGAATCGTGCAGCCGCGATCAGTGAAGCGCTTCGTCTTTCTTTAAAGATGGCCGAGGAACGGCCGTGAGCCTGCGCCGTGGCTGCCAGCTCATTATAACACAGCCTCCGCTCACTGTTGGATCTTTCCTCCACTTCTTCCTCGGCCCTTGAATCGCGGACGGCAGGATGTCGCAGGGGCAGGATGAGAGCTCCGTGCGGGTGGCTCTGAGGTAGGTGATGGCGATCCGGGTGTACCTGCTGCTGCTGGCCGCGCCGGCTCCCTCTCCGCAGAGCACCGCCTCTCACCGGAGGCCTGCCTCTCTCTCCTTCTATCTTTACCGAGGGAAAGGAATCCGGCGGCTCGTGTCATTTCACCTCTGGCTGATTGATCTCCGATCGTATGCAATTATTTAGATTGCGGCTACATTTTAATGTCCGAATAGATGAGGTGCGACACGATGGGGGGCGCGCTTGGGGGTGGAGATTAGGCTCGCGTACGTGTAAAAACCTGTCATCACATACGTACATACATGCATATATATAAATTCGTACATGCATTCATATCACACGCATGCATACATAAACTGTGCGTGCTATAATAAAAGCGTATAATAAGCTGCTCCCATCTCTCTGGGTGGGCTTTCTGCCGGACCTGGCAGCTTTTCCCGGGGGTGCCGGCTCACTGGCCGCCTGAAGGAGCGCTGATCGATGTAAGAGCGGTTTCCCTGACGGCCAGTCGCTCAATCGGCACCCGCCGGTCGATTCTTTGTTCGTCGGCCATGGCGGCTGCGGCCCGGTGCCCAAAGCCGGTACCGACGCCTGCGAATGTGCCGTGAAGTCCGCTTTCACGCCCTGGGCGGCCAGATAATGAGCCCGTGCCCTGTCCATTCAATTTCTGTTATTTTATCCCCTCCCCCACCGCATCTACACTGAAATAAATGAATGCGTGTCTTTGTTGGGGGCGCCTGTCACACGCAGATGTGTCAGGGTTAAAATGGGGGCTGTTTCTCGCCGGCGGCCTGGCAGGCGTGGGGTAACTCAATCGGGGCGTAAATCCTACGAGAGCCTCTAGCACGGCCCCTTAAAAGTGCAAGTGGAAATCTAAATGCAGCCGTGGGCCGGGGCCGCCGTAATGTACCTGCTGCCCGGGGTCAGTGCTGCCCGGAGGGGAGATCCTGCTGCTTTCTATGAGGAATTCTGCTCTAGTGGTAGATTATAAAGACAGTGTCAGGAGTCTACAGTCTCATCACGCAGCTTTAAATATAAGTAAACATGGCTGCCCTGCGCACCGTTTTATGTCCGTTGTGGACATCGACCGGAAATGTGAGGCTGGTTGAGAGAGAGGCTTACGTAGCTCGGTTTCCATACCGGCGGCACGACAGACCATAATACAGGCATCAGTGGGGGCTGGCCTTGGTGGTGGATGCTGAGTCCCTCATTTCATAGTGGCTCTTCAAGGGCGCTGGGTGACTGAGATCATCAGACTGGTGCTCTCTCTCTGCCTCTCTAATTCGTTTTTGCTTTGATGGTTGATCACATTTAGCCCGGCTCTGTTGCACATCTCCCTGCTTGAGCCTTCTTCCTGAAGCCTGAGGTCCGTGTCTTTCCGGAAGGCTCTGGGTCTCTCCAGCTGATAAGGGCCCGCTTGTGAGGTGTGGTGGGCCTTTATCTGAGGGTCTTGCTGTGACCTTGCTGTACTCCGACCTGTAATCAGGAAAGGTGTAAAGGCTAAAAGTCTTATGGGTTAATGTAGCATAGGGAGCTGAAGTTAAAAACAGGGTAGAAAGAGCCGGATAGGAATGTATGTCAAGGTTTATCGCTGCCGTGGATTTCGAGGTCGCGCTGTTACAAAACCAGACTGCTGATGACAAATTGCTGTGTTCTTAACATTTTCTGTTTTGCACAAAGCCTGCTATGGATTATAGGAATTCCCACTGCGGATGTATTTTACGCAACTTGTGCTTATTAGGTTGCTAAGCACGTCCCCTTTCTGCTGTACTACAAAAGCCTGCTGATCAGATCATTTCTAGAAAGCTTTCAAACGGGGGCTTCCGGGGAGGCCGTACTACGCCCAAGGATGAGGACAAAGGCGCTTTCGTGGAGAGACAGGCAGGTGGATCCGGCCGTTCATGTGAGACGCCGCAGCAGGGAACAATGGAAGCTGCCAAACAAAAGCCCTGCGCGCTCAGGTTACTGCGGCCTGGCCCAGTGTGGAGTGACCCTGCGTGAGCAGGCAGACTTTGACCTGCGTCGCTGGCTGTGTACCGACTGCCTGTCAGTGCCAGGAAAACACTGCAAGGCTCAAAGGAGAGCGCAAACCTCAGATAAAGCTGCCATCTTTCGTAACACCGCTTTGAGCTCATCTGTTCATTCTTTCGGTGTGTTTCAGCATGTAGCCGGAGTATGCATTTCTTAAAAACAAAGAGGTACGAAATGACGTTAATGTTCCTTGGATGACTCGTACCGGGAGGATGTGTGTATATGCTGTATTAGCCTGCTCTCACGCTGCACTCGAGGTTCACAAGCGCTCCAATCACAAGCACGCCACGGCTCTCCACGAGCAGAGGTGCCCTTCATGTAAAGACCCATCTTATGAAATTCCCGAGCTGTTCTGGAAGCTTCCTCCTGTGGTCTGAGTCTCCACAGAGTGGGGTGTGCAGAGCGGATTGTAGGCAATTACACTGTGGAGAGTAAACTGTGCCCCGCCCCTTTGCCGTGCCCCTGGCCACACCCCCTGTCCATCGTCACCCTGTCCTTTCCCATCCCTTTGAACACAGGAAGTGGTGACGGGTCTATATTCGGGTCTGGCGTCTCGGCATTCCGTCCCGGGAAAATGCAAGCTCACTGCCAGGCGTCCTCGTGGATGGAGCGGTTTTGCACGCACCCCTATAGTGGGCCGGCCGCTTGGCTCAGTCTGCGGTCGCTGCAGACAATGCCTCCCGGGTCCTTTTGGGTCACTGTCCCAGGCCCCTGTGGCACTGTGGCGGGGCCAGGCTCTCGCACGCGTGTCAGGGCCTCGAGCAGACGTCCCAGGCCAGGCACAGAGATAGCAGTGTGTGCTTAAGCCCCTTATCTGGCCACTTGGAACTGCGGTCTTTGTCATTCCAGTCGTCAGCTTGGCCCCATTCTAAAGGAAGGGCAAAGGGGTTTTTTCATTAAATTTTTTATGCTGTACTCTTTTGTTTTTTTCTCTCCAAATGAATCTGTGTAACCAGAGGTCATGAATCCCATCTTCTCAGGTTCAGGATTCTTCAGACCTGACGCGTCCTCCTACATTCGCTGGATTTTCGTCTTTGTTGACTCTGTAAATATGGAGAGTTGTAGCATGGTGCTGGGCGAGTGCCTGGCAGCGTGAGCGCCTTCGATCTGCACGCCGCCCCCGGACATTTCGCTGTGCCGCGGTAATTAGCGTCGAATCTCCGCTGTCGTGCAGAGCTTGTCTGAACCCGTCTGCCTAACATCAGCTTTTAGTGCCTCTTAATGTTTCATTCTCGTCTAAGTAGGCGGTTTAAATCACTTTCACCGTGAGCAGTTCTCAGAAGTCTTGGGGGGGTTTGGGAAAGCAGCCACACCATTGAAACAGCATGTCGTCTTTGATTAATGCAAAGAACTTTCCCACTACAGATAGGCTCAGCAGGTAACAAATCTGTTCCTTTAACGTGTTTTAATTAACACTTAATATCATTGCATTCTTCAGAGTCCGGAAGGTGGATCCCATTACTGATGAGAACATGAGGTCTTCAATCTGAGTTAACCCTAACCGTAATGCATGAGGTCTTCAATCTGAGTTAACCCTAAACGTAATACATGAGGTCTTTAAGGTGTTTGACGGGGTTGGTCTGGCCCAGGCTGCCCCCTGCTCCTGCATACAGAGCCTCCTGCTCAGATATCTATGTGGTGCCATATTGTATATAAGATGCCAGTTTAGGGCACAGCGATGTCCACGCCACAGGTAACTAGGTGGAGATCACACGTCACCCATGCAAAGATCACACATCACTCCACCTGTGCAAAAAAAACATCATTCCAGAAGAGGAAATAGGCCGCTTGAGGGAGACTGAGGTCTTCTTCCGATTCTGGTATGAGCACATATTAAGTTGGAGTAACCGACTTGTGTTCTTCGTGAGTCGAGCCGTAGAGATCTGGCCACCTCCAGCGTGGCAGGATTCCCCGCCTTAGTGTTTCCCTTTCCTGTCTCTGGGAAAGGCTGCACCCTCCAGATCTGCCCCAGCCATGGAACTGTGTTTACATCAGGACCTTGTAGCATGGAGTGTGCGTGTGTCTGTGTATGTCTGTGTATGTCTGTGTATGTCTGTGTATGTCTGTGTGTGTCTGTGTCTGTGTCTGTGTGTGTATTTCTGTGTATATCTGTGTGTTCACGTGGCCTCAGGATCAGAGCAGGAGAAGCAGGCAGCTTTGGCCTGTCTGTCACCCTGGGCTGGGTCTCCTGTCTCTCGCTGGCCAGACCTTTCAGCGATTTGTTCCTGTCCGTCAGACGCCCCAGAGCTTAATGTTCAAACTGTCCGCAGCATGAACTTCACACCAGAGCTGAAATCACTCTTCATGCCAGAGGGCTGTATAACCCCTACAGCCATGTAGGTTAGCGAGTTAGTGACTGTACATGTGGAACTTTATTATTATAATTATGAAATGACATCTGATGGCTTTTGGTGAGCTCATTGGCCGAAGGATAAGGACTCGGATCCATCCGGGGGGGTTGTTTGAATCGGTTACCCTGAAAATGATAAACGCAGGGATCCAGAAATACCTATTTATATTCTTTCTGTGCCCGAGAAGTGACCACAATGAGTGAGCAGTCTGCGTCACGGTTCGTCCTCAAAGGAAAATGAGGCGTGATTTTCCGAACGCGGTTGCATTCCCAAATTCCATTTGTTTATTCCGGACGTGTACAGATGTGGCTCCTCGTCTCATGTTGAGCGTGTCGGTGATGCCAGACGAAGATGGCCTCACCCGGGGGGGGGGGGGGGGGGCGCTCTGTCAGCCATCGCCGTCGGTGACAGAGCTGCTCCGTCTGCCCCTTTGGGCTCCGCCCTGATTCAGAGGGGCTCGCCATCTGCTGGCTGGACCTCAGCCCAGCCTGCCTCCGCCTCCCCAGCCCAGCTAAACCTGAGAGCCCCCCCTGCATAGCCCAAGAGCGGTCCAGGGGCCGGTCATCTCCGACAGGCAGATAATAGTCATACACTCTCGGTGAGCCTGAATAACGTGACGT